CCAGGTCTCTCATGAGTCATATAAGGTGACCACTGTTGGTTTGCAACAACCATATATCTAAAACAGGCAACAGCTCTACAAAATGCAAATTCCATAGAACACTATTTGCCCAACTCATTACATCTATTTAAAGCTAGCAATATTCTTCTCTGGAAGACTTCAATAAAAGGTTGTGATGTCTCACGTGATTATTTGCAATCTTACCAAAGATCTAGAAAAATGACATATGATGATTCCTCATCCTGATCTCTAAGGAATACTTAGGTCTACATGACTCCGACATATTCCATATCATGATAATCCATGACGACATCTCATTTCTTTTCAGCAATGAACCATGGTTCTAGTGAAACAGAAAGATATGCATCATGACATTCCAGAGCAACAGTCAAAATATAAAGCAAATCCTGATTGCTTGATGATATAATCATTTATAGGCCTGTCTGCAACATGTTCAATTTTTGAAATACCCTGATCTCCCCAGCTGGTATTCTTCCCTCTAACTACAGCTAATAATTTTATAGGTTTTGTTTTCAATCAAGCAGAGCAGACTGGTTTAACTGTTGACAACTGTTGTAATCTGCAGGATTATTAAAGTCATCCGAAAATCCATTTGTATACATCATTCTCTTAATACTCTCATACCAATGATTATTGTGAAGTTTTGAATCTAAAAAAGCAGCATTTAATAAAGAATTATTGGTTCCATTAGCCAGTCTTTTCCAATATGTAATACAGCCCTCATCTTTGAATGATGATAAGCTTAATGAGCTTGGTAAGTTCAAAGATTCATTGGTACAGTGTAACATAAAGAGGACAGTCTCTCATGCAAACGATAATGTTGAAACTGTAAACCAGGACATTGTCAAAATTTTCTGAAACTTTGTCCATTCAGGTCTTGCTGGAGGTACATTTTTTATGAGGGAAAAGCTTGAAATTGTGAAGTCCATACTTTATGAGATCCTCTTACCACAAGTGGTACTACAAGAGGGATATACAGTCCAGGTCAGAACACAGCTAGCACACAATTCTCTATCAAGTTATATCCCTTTACTGGTTGTGGGCATCTAGATGGAAAAAGCCTTACACCAGGAGGTCAGAAAAGTGCACTTAATAGTAAAAACATATGAATGTATATCTTGAAACAATAGGAGGGGAACTTAGCTTCACTGGCATGGAGGTCAAATTCACAATTTGTTGTCTTCAAATGAAAGGGCTATACTTGCACTATCAACACTTAGTTGGTATCTGGTTACATGGAACTTGTACTGTATGCTGGTTCATAAGTTCATCATTAGACCTTCTTATTCATTTCTACACATTTGAGAAAAATTAGTTGTGACTGAGACTAACCTTACCTGCTGCATCTGGAGAGTGAAAATTAAAAAAAATGTTTGTAGACTTTAGGCAATTAACTAACTATATTTTCAGAAACATTAGATGGTAAAAAGGGGCCAAAGGGTTAGAATCTGATTTCAAGGGATAATCAAAAATTTAGAATTCTTTCAGAATGTTAAAAGAAAATGTATGATTGTATGTCTATATACTGGGTGTTCATGGTAAACACCATTTTCAACTGGGGTTATGTTACAACATGCTAACTTATTAACTAAACATCTTTCAAATAAACAATTAAATTTATCAGCAGTGTTAAAATGTAATTAATTTTTCTACAAGTGAGTTTGGTTATATTCCAAGAATGAATGTGATACATTACAAAAATATGTGAAAATGATGAATCTCTGATTCATAAGGAAATGAAACAAATAAGAATTTTTTTTATATATTATCCTAAATCTGCTACCCTTTAATTTCTAGTGAATGAATACACCTAAATCAAATAATCAGTGAAAATCGAGTTTTTTCTTTGATATCTTATTAAATATTAGTTAGAGAATAATGTGGATGTTGAGTATACCGAATTTCAATCTTTTTTCTGTGCCAATATTCCGTCAGATGAAGGGCACTTTGACATTCTAGGTTGAATTCTTTACATATCATGATTGATCTACCTTAACTTATTTCTAAGTATACTGATATACTTAAAACTACTCTTTTCAATCTATTTTCTGATATGATACCAATCTTGTGTGTGCCACCTTGAAAGTTGAAAATTGAAATCAATAGAAAATGAAATACAAACTTTGGAAAAATGAACAGATGTTAGGCATAAAACAGTTTAATATTCCCTGAAATCAAAGGATCATGTAGGCTATTATTAAAATAACAATATTTCTTCTATACTGTAGTGGGTGTATCATTTTAAGTCAAACATCAAGCCCTTCATACATCCCTCCCCAATACCCAGGTTACTGGTACCATGATTCATTTGAATATTGAATGTAATCACAGACAATGCAGCTGGGTTTTGATTCACATCATCTCATAATTCACTATACAGATGTATTCTTACTGATTGCACTGATTTCACAATGGATTCAGAGGGCATGATTCTATTAGAGTTTTGTCAGACTGTTATATCAATGTTAGGTTCATAATGTTGAGTTTTATATACATGTGTCTCGTGTCTGTGTCATGTCTTTTGTTGTCTTCCTGTCCTTGATTCTAGTCTTTTATCACGATACATGGGCATCAGCAGGGAGAGAAGGTTGGGTACACCCCCTAACTGAGCCATTTTTCAAGTTACTCTTCCCAAGATTGCTTCACGGTGCTGAGGAGCAGAAGAGGCAACTCGGAATAAAGAAGAACTAATTGCTCTGGTGAAAGAGATAGAGAGAAGCTAGGTTTCTGGTCTATTGGAAAAATCCTGTGAATGCCCCTGCCATATTTATTTACCCCGACATTTCCCCTACCTATCTTTTGGATGAGAACCAGCATTTGGGGGTAATATAACTGGCTAATATGAGATATTATAGAAAAAATTTTAAAGCAAGGGACAAAGAGCTCAGTATCATAGACTATGACTGAGATGCTAATGTTTTACATAAATCTTATAGCAGTTGATTAATTCATTCATTCTTTACACCTAGACAATAAGCAGTATTAGTACCAATGTCACAGTATCATGTAACTATTGATTAGCAATTTTGTCCATACTTGAACAATCAATATTCAGGTTACTCTTTATACACTGAATAAACATTAGATCCCCCAAAACCTTCACATATAGTAGGTTGCTATGTACCACTACAGATTACAAACAATGTGTTTACATATTTTGAGTACCAAAGAGTTTTTGCCACCAAAGAGTTTTTGCCTTTTTAAGCAGACTGTTTTAACTTTTTTCTTTTTACTATCAGTAATGTCAAAATTCTGAAAATAAGACTAGGAGAATATTTTTCAGTTTTGAATGTCCTGAAATATGGAGGTCTTCACCCTTCATATCATATCTAGCCAAACAATGATATTGAATGTAAATAATAGAAAGAAAGTAGCTGATACTCTCTTGAACCCAAGTATTGCACTTTAAATATCAATTGTCACATGACATTCTTGAAATTCAGTGCAGGTCAAATGCTAGAACAACACAAATCTCCCTGGAATTTGAACAACTTGATGCTGTAGCCTGTCAAAAAGTTGAGAATTACACTCTACCTAAAAATCTGTTTGCACTCTGTCAAAGGTATGACACATTGAGATATTTAGACCAAATTAGAATGTAGCAGCCTATTGAGAAAAAATTAAGGGAGATCACTGAATGCATACCATAATCATCTTTGGTGACCAATGTCCATGTTAGACTAGCTTATATTTTCCTGTTTCAATGGCATATACAGGTATAATATAGTGAAAAGGAACATTAATTTTAATATTAAATTGACTCTAACATACAGTTGGGGACATAAATAAATGACAGGTGGATTTGCTGAAGTGAGGATTTCCCATGTTAAAAATAAGAGAATTTACAAGAGGCCATACATCAGTGGATGAGATTATACAAAATGTAAAATATACAAATTTTAAGGGATATGTATCTAGACAATATTGGAAATTATGGGCTTTCAGACCACCATAATTAGGAAATGGTGATCGAAAATCGACCTGTCATTTATTTTTGTCCCCAACTGTAAAAGGATTTTTAATGGGAAGTATTGAATTAAATATCACAGATCATATATAGAGATCTTGCAGTATATTCATATCTACAAATACTTTATCAGAGATTTGGAAAATAAAGAAAAATACAAGCAGAAAGATAAATTTTAGGCCTATCTAATTAAACCAAAAAGTAAAAAAATTACTTTAGCCTCTTTAATTTTAGAGTTATGAAGAAGCTTCTAAAACCAGTCAATGGAAATTATCATAAATGTTACAAACAACATCAAGTCATCATCCTCTTTATTTAACAGATTATGGTAACCTAATTTTTCATTCTGTAATTTGGTGAATACTAATACTGGCTATGTAGTTATGCAGCCTATGCGCCTCCTAGTTTAGTAATCAAGTGACTCATAATACGATGAATATATTATGAATATGACCACTACTTCCTTCCAAGCCATGTGCACTTGGTTTATATATTAATTTTCCTGGATAGATTCATATTGGAATGTTGAATACTGACTGGCATGTAATACATTACCTATAACCTTCAATTTGATCTCGAAATCAGCCATGTATTAGTTAAATAAAATGTCAAGAATATATATCGCTCTCTTGTCAAGACATGGGGCCATAACTTTGACATATTATGTTATCACGACAAATATCCCACTGTAGTTAACATCTTGACTGACTATCCAGACACATTCACTCAGTCTTTTGACACTTTCAAGTTTATCACAATTATTTTATTCCTTTAATTAATAACAAATTCATCAGAATCGTCAGGGTATGGGCCAATTTCTGGAGTAGATCTATTGATAAATGATTTTGATTGACAGGAAGGAAGTAAAAACACATGCATCCCATCTCCCATTCATCCATTTGTAAATATTCAACGAACTATTTCAAAATGATCAAATCATTCAGATCAAGACTTTTAATGAATTATATTATTTCTGGTATTTTACATACTAGACTAAGAGCTCTCTACTCACCAAGAAGACGTTTTCAGTGAGAATGTACCGGATGATTGTCCACAAAACCGCCAGTCCTCCAACAACAGCAAAATCTCGCATAGGAAAGTATCCATATTCTTCTAATTGATTATAGAAACCTGTGGGACCAAAAGTACCTGCTTCTGATTCCCTAACATACTTTGATATCGATACATAAATGTCTTCTATACATTTTGCATAGGTTGGAACTTCATACACATCCGTCTCGCCCGCCATCTTGATGTCAAAATGTTGCTTAGATCATACCACTGATGAATAGGGGTGAAAGGTTAATAGTCACACCATGTCCAAATAAAATGGAAATATAGATGTCATTGAATTCAGATCACTGGTTATCTATTTACTTTATTTCTTCTACTTTGGTCTTCCACTGTCTCTATATCTCAACATGAACTGTAGACAAATGTTGTGTTGACTTTATTGATAATTTGTGTCACTCGCTGGATACAGTTATACCATGAAAGCCCATGGTTATACCATGCAATAGTTTATATTTATAGTCTCGAGGCAAGTCTCTGGACCTGCATCCATCCACCTCTATTATTCCTGGCCACTTGTTGGTTGCCGGTTGGCTGCGCTTCCGTGGACATCCTGTTTCAAATCTAATGAATCTGGGCAAATCTGCATCACCATATTTGATTAGATATCTGAATCATTTTTTCAGATTATATAAATAGGTTGTAACAAAATCATTCAGGCCAGTAACCAGGGGGTTTGAGGGGTGCAAGCGAAATAGGATAAATTTTATCAATGTTTAATGCTATCTTTGAGACTGAAATGATCTATGAAATGCAAAAAAAGAATAAAAACTTCCATGATGTGTCCTGTGAAGAAGGATGTCATTAAGAGGGGGAAATAACCTGGCATAGAAGTTCGTCTTTGCATGACAGACCCGTAGCCAGGATTTGCCAAGGGGGGGGGGGTTCAGTTTTCAAAAATTTCCAGGGGGAGTTCACATTTTACAATTTTGGCACATATATGGCTAAAATTCACTTCAGAAGTGCTCAAAATGGTGAAAAACTGCATGATTTTGAAAGAATTTTTGGCCAGGGAACCCTGCGAACTCCCCCTGGCTACGGGCCTGCATGAAGATAGATAGGGTCACATATAAATTCCGACCAGTCCATCATCATCATCCCCCAGTCCATCTTAGTGGTCAACATCTCTTCAAATCAATGAAAAATATATTTGGGTATGATTAGGTCAGTGTGATGAAGTGTTGCCATCTATAAATTAAGTTTGTACTAAAACCACAAAACACCCCTACTATTTCTAATTGAATGAACTCATCTAGTTCGCTTCAACATGAACAAGAAGAAACATTTTAAAAAGACAAGCAGAAAATATTTTGTGTTATGTTTGAATCAAATACAACTAATGTAACATTTAATTCTTGAAATCATGATGAAGACAAATCATTGAAACGATTTATAAATCATTAATTCTGAAATTGTCAATGTTTAGGTGTCTTAATTCCTTCATCCGGGTCATAGAGTGTACGCGCGAAAGGAGATTGCCGAAGTAAACAGTGAGTGAACTTGGTAAGTAAACTCTTATTTTCTCATCAAATACTCGATTGATTCCGCTGTCTATATTACGTTAGATCAAATAAGGTCCATTTGCGTATATTGTCCCAAACACATGGCTTGTAAACTTGATAAACAGCTAGAAAACAACTTACAAATGTGAAGGAATTTTTACAACCGAACCGTTCACTTCTCAAAAGTTTGCAAAAATAGAAATGTTTAGCAGCAGATCAATATTTGAGTCATTGCCAAGTGACGGTTTATCGGCTGTTTGCCAATGAAGATTCATTATTTTGCTCTATTTCATACACTAAATGCGGCCCAGTGAGTACTTTACCACATATTACTTGCGACTTATTACCCTACTTACCTGTTTCATGGCCTGACTTGCCAGAATAAAAAAGAAGACATCAAATACACCTCTTTGCATAATTTTAGTCCTGATCAGTAGAGTAAAAATGTTAACATTTGTTTTCACACACTATTACTTATTTGTTGTGTTCAGTATATACATGCATTTGCATATTTTTGTTTATTTCTAAGTTTGTGTAATTGACTATTCCTGATGATCATCGCGATGCACCGATGCATGATTATGGCACATCGCAACAACACAAGATGGCAACCTTACTACAAATTTGAATTCAGTAAAAATGTCTGTTTATAATGCAGACTTCATCTTTTAAGGTTTCTCCCCTGGACAATCAGTGATGTCTCATTATAATTGCTTATGTAATATCTTACATACCTTAGATACATCTCGAGACCAATTTATAGGTATAGTATTGCCGATATGTTGCGAAAATCAACAGAAAAACCAACTGTCAGAATTGAACACAATTGAGTTCGATCATGGCAAACGAGAGAAAACCCTTTCAAATGACAGGAGCATAGAAACTTCGACAAACTCAACATGCGTCTTGACCCAGGCAGCCAATCAGATTCAAAGCTGGTTGTCAGTTTCTTTTAGAGGATTTCCAGAACTGTCATTTACAGAGTTCTTCTGGTCACATAACCAATACTGATAAACAAATTCAACGACCACGCAGATAACATATGGATTTCCCTGGTTTATTCAAGTTTCTGAATTATAAAATTATAAAATGTTTCATGTTGGATCAATACCATCGTTCAATTGCCAGGTGATCAAAAATGAGAACTCTTTACATCTGTTTTAAGAATTTGAAAACTATTTCTTAAAACGATCTAGTTATTTTTTGTTAATTCGCAGCGTAATTTGCGGCTTTTAACGACTATTGACAATATAATCTGTTGAAATGATGTTGACGAAGAAAGCATCAGGTAAAATCTTTATTTTTAAACCATTCCAAGGCATTCCGATTCAAAATTGAAATGTTGAAACTTGTTGGATAACAAACTGAAATGGCTTTGAACCCCCTCCCCCTAACTACATTTATTTAGTTTTCGATCCGACATCAAACTTTGTGCCTCTCCTTACAGAGGTTTATTTAACATTGAGTCACATGACACAGAAGTGTTCACCTAACACAGGTGTTCCACCTTTTAGAGGTGTTCTACATGTGTTTTATATGTTGTGAATAGAAGTTCAGGTGACAACTAATGGTCATTTTTTAATTCTCAGCTGCCTATTTTCTTAAATCACTTATACATTTTACTCAATCTAACTAGTATTTTTATCAACGGATTGTTAAAGGCAGAATTAGATATATAGTTCAGTATAGGCACAATTGCAAGCAATATGTACAACTGATCAGCCATTCTATTCATTACGGTCTCAAATAGAATATATTCCAAAAGATTCGTAAGATGCTTAATCGTGCAAAAATTGGGATGGAATTATGTTAAAATATCGCTAGATCTTATTGTCCTTTTTAACTCAAATTTAAATGTTTAAGTCAGAATATATGAATCTTACATCTGTTTGAGTGCAAACAGAGTGGTATTTAATTTTCTAATTTTCAGCAGAGTGCAGGAGAGAGAATCTACTGCATGCATACATTATATTTCTATGTATGTTCTGTATATGAATTCAAAAAACAGAATCAATATTTTTTATTGTATCCTTCCTGTATCAAGTCTTATAGCACCTAAGTATCATAAGATGCAGAATCCCTATTCCTGACATAGTTCATTTTTACTTGAATAATAGAGTCAATGCTTATGTTATGAACCAGACTGTTTTCAAATATAAGCCTTGATTGAACATAAACAGGGAGAAAAACCCTTGGTAAAAATGTAACCCAATCTTACTTTCATAATCAGCAAGCTGAAAACTGTTCATTTTAAAGCACTTCTATTTATAGACACCTGTATTTCCTCTTGCTTTATACTAACCTCAGATCTTTCAGCTAGTCTTGGGTGATGTTTTACTGAGCTGAGAATTGTACTTCAAATTGTAATATTAATAGGTTCTTAACGTAATGATAACCTATATCATCTTATTTCTTAGTTGTGAGGTGTTGCTAGTCATACAGGAAGATGTAATGAGTATCGGGATATTATTAGTTTAAGCAGTGATGTCCCCAGCATAAAAGCAAGTGGGTGTAGCACCCACCTGAGATTTTAAAAACAGGCTTGCACCCACTTGAAAATCTATTTGCACCCACCTGAAAATAAGAAAAATCATGAAAATCGGCATACTTTGAAAAATTTGAGTCTAAATAATGAAATTACAAATTTTTCACCAACAGTCCTGTGGAAAGTATATTCAAAAGTATATTCAAAACCTAACATTATGTTTTGTGAAATTATCAGATGTATTTTACTGCTTGCATATATCAGTTGTATGATTTGACAGGAAGAGTTTGAAATCAAACAAAAATTATAGTTTATATATAAACAGTACATTTGAAAATGTAGTTTGAAGTAGGTATATTACAGGCATTGCACAAGTTTTACTATATGTTACTCTCACCCATTTCCATTTAGAATCTGTTAACTTTATCCAGATATAACAAAAAAATAACACATAAGATGATGATTAATAGCATAATTGTATAAATCTATAAGAATGAAGCCCATGGATACATAGATGGCCCTGTTATACTTCCATCTACTGAATCCATTTAAAAACCCCTTCAAATTGGTCAAAATATATTCTTGGGACCCCTCCCCCTTCCAAATCTTAAACCTTCTTTTTGAGGTTAGGTATTATGTAGTTGGGTTCACAAAGTCTAATCAAAAACTCATGTGAGCTATTAAAAATGACTGTTTTGACAATGTAGTGTTTTTCCTCATAAGACATGAAATTATTTGTCCAAAGCCATTGACAAATTACCATCCCATTAACTTCATTCTTATATGATAACTTCCTTGACCATCAGGCATTGTTAAAAGGTTTTTCCATGTTTCTGCTTATATCCAAGGATCAATATATTTATGTACAGCAAGTATTTCACCATAAACGTGTGTAATTGCTCTGTTGCCTATTAGAACATTACATTGGAGATTATTGATTACAACAACATTGAATCCCTATGCTACATTTTTTCAAATAAAACTCAATTATAATTTCCTATGATTATTAGTGGTATTGTATCAAGTCTCTGGGTCCCTCCCATTATCGACTGACCTCCAAGGGGTGAGGTATAAGCCTATCAGGGAGGAGGGGTCACAAGTCATAGAGGCTGATGTAAGATAAGTAATTAGGATATAAGTGACTCAGAATGTTTAACTCAAAAATACGGAGCATAATATTATTCTTGGTAAATCACAAAAATGTGTGTTACTTTTCCCTAAAAACATAAATTTTAAATGATCTTTAATAAACACTTGTTTCAATCAATAGTACATATATATATTTCTATGTTCTCCAGATAGCTAATGATGCACAGTGAACTGTTACACTAATATGTGTGGTACTTGCACTGATTACTCGCAATTTAATATCTTATTGCTCAGATATATGGAGTAAGATATTTCATTCTGTAATAACACATAACATTATATATAATATTTGTAAAATGTTAGATTACTACCTAGGCGTATTAGAATATCAATTAGTCTCATGGTATTGAATTAAAAACTCTGGAAAATTCTTCATGGTATCTTAAACTGTTAAACGTGCGATTGGTTTACTGCAGAGCATAATAGGCCAACTCGCTGGGCATATTGAATGCATCTATTGATTTCAATGCCTACAAATATGTGAATATCGATTGGCCATGCTACAATAACGAAATAATTAATAAGAATGAGGCTAAAACACTTGCTAGAAATGATTATCTCGAACCTTTAAAATAATTTTTATTACTTTCCTTGAAATAGGTTGGTGAATGCTAAGATGAAATTGATAATGTACATGTTCGGTTCCATGGTTCATATATTAATAGTTAGACAGCGTTGATATCGGAAAAGCAATCTGAAGTCCAGACAGTTACTCTAATATATTTCAAGCATTATGATTTATGTTTGAGCACATTGGGCAACATTTAAATATGTATATACATGTACAATATAATCACTTGCCCCAGATTACCTAGGTCAGTCCTCTAGTACTATAAAACCTGTCTAAGAGGAACACCTTTGGTACTTCTAAAAAGTGTTTCACCTAGGTGTTCCACTTTCTACATTCTACTTAAGAGGTTTCATTGCAGTATGATTATTTGGTATAAATGAATATTTAAAGTCTGATTCATTTAACATAATGACCATACTGTTAAACCGGTATATCCTTCAGTTATATGAAATACCTTGATGGAACAAGATGAAATAGCACAATGTGCTAAAAAGTCATTTAGTCTTCTACTAACTTAAATTGCAGGATGATGATAGCCAGAACACATTAGGTATTAGTCATTAGTAGTTGAATCTAATAAGTTATACTAAAGGTGAACTATTGGTCTTTAGAAAGGATCTCACCTTTTGCAGAGAAATATTGTAGATTTTAAGAAGAATGAAAAAATAGAATTTTGAAAAAATATCCTGTTATACTTTTTGTATTTTTAATCATTTTGGTTAGAAAAAGGCAATATGGATATATCTATTTTGAGATGTCCAAATGTTATTTAAAAGTTGGCTTATAAATACCCTGC